GGGGGAGAAGGAGGAGGAGGAGGAGGAGGAGGAGGAGGAGGAGGAGAAGAAGAAGAAGAAGAAGAAGAAGAAGAAGAAGAAGAACAAGAAGAAGAACAAGAAGAACAAGAACAAGAACAAGAAGAACAAGAAGAGGAGGAGGAGGAGGAGGAGGAGGAGGAGGAGGAGGAGGAGGAGGAGGAGGAGGAGGAGGAGGAGGAGGAAGATATTTTCCCCTTTGGCCCCAGCACTCAAAATATACTACTACCCCTCAAGCAAAACTGACTATTCATAAATGAAATACAAATGGAAATTATAAAACATGGTTGTAGCTCCCCCACCTCTTAAATATGGGAACTGAGTAGGTACTTTTTCATCCTTCCCCCATTTCTAAAAACAACATATTACTGACTGATTTAATAGAATTGTAGGGCTTAGCAACCCCCTGTATGCTGCTGTGTAAGAATACAAGCCTTTTTGTTTTAGTAACACGATGGCAGGCCTTTTAAATCTACAGAGTTGGTGGCGGATTGGGGTTCACGCTGAGAGCCCAATGAGAATATTCTGGATGAAAAACATCCAGAATATTCTACAGAGGCAGCGCTCAGAGCTGTTTTGTGAGCCTATGAAGAGCTGGATAGGACTTGAGGCCTAGATAACCCAGAGGTCTCTTGAACCCATGTGCCAAAATATCCTTCATCCAGGTACAGTGCATTATATGGTTTCCTATTTGTGAATTATATACCTCATTCTTTTGGTATCTTTCCTCAGAAATAAAGACACAAAATCTCTCAATTTGAGAGATTAGGTAGGCTGTTCTTTTCCTGATACCTTTCTTTTTCTTCCTCAAGTTCTTGTCACCATTCTCTATCAGCAACTAAGTCTTTATGTTAAGGTTGGTTTTTCGCTCAATAAGACTGATCGTACATTCACTCTTATCCAGGGTTATAAAATAAATGTGATTTGATCTGAAGGTTCATCTGCTTAATAATTTTCATTTTGACAAAATAAATAAATAAATTGCAATTTGGTAGCAGCTTTTGGAAAAATTGTAAAAGCACATGAAAATCCCGGATAAAACTAGGAATTTTCCTGAAGATAAGGTTTTTTTTCCAGATTGATCTTCTCTAAAAGAAAGGC